TAAAATATATATATATATATATATATATCTTAATACTCACATATATAATGTAATATATTAAAAAAATCAATTTTTGATAAAATAAAATTTGCAATATGCATGTTTACCTTTTGTATTTTCTATTTATTGTATACTTTGATTAAAAAAATTAAAATAGTAAAATTGTATACATTGATTAAAAAAATCAAAATAAGAAAAATAGGAAAATTTATGTTCCATATAGAATTTCTATTATAAAATATATTTTAAAATAAATTATTATTTAAAAATACATATTATATATTAAAAACATGTTTATATCATAAAAAAATTAAAATTGATTTTTATAAAATTTAACATATTTAGTTTTATATTTTTAATAGTGTTAAACTATAATAAAGTAGGTCTTTAGGATTGTACTTCTAACCAAACATTTAAAAAATATCTATGATAGATAAATAAGTCATACGTAAAATATATATTTTTAAAGAAAATTAGATTCAAACCTATTAAGTTATAATAAAATTTAGTCTAACCTAATTTATTTTCATCTTTAATTATAATCATAGATATAAAAACTTGTAAAAAATAATTATGATATATACTTATAGTTTTAAAAGTTATATTTAAAATTTTTAATATTATAAATATATGAATAAGTATTGCCTTTACTATTTAAAATTTTTGGATCCGTTCACCCTCTTCATATCCTTTGAGTGATATTCTTTTATTTTAATTATTATAATTAAACATGCAATGATATATGTACAATGAAGACACTTTAATACTTAAATAAGCGTAAAAATGCGTAATAAAAGGTAAATACTTAAAGTAATTATATGTAATTAATAAATAAAAGTTATCTCCTATATATAACACCGATGTTGTTTAAAATAAGATATTAATTACTCAATTACCTAAAATAAGAAGTATATACTATTTTTGTAAATTAAACTTACTTGATATTTATTCCAAATATAATATCACTTTAAATTGCATTTAGGACATTCTAATACATTATACAATGTTATCAAAATTGATTCCGAACAGCCGTTTGAAAATGATTTGCTCCATCATCAATGATATAACTTGTCTATGTAAGTTGATTGATTATAAGTGTTATGAAATCAATTTAACTTAAATAATTTATAGTGTGTTTGAATGGACCCTTGATAATAAAAATGAAACAATTATTTTTAACGATGAAGAGAAAACAACAAATAGTTATTTTCACTTTTTATAGTATCACCATGATTTTGGAAAATAGAATTGATTATCGAGTGTTTTCTAAACATAATCAATGTTCTGCACAATCAAATTGATATAAATGGATCGATAACTAGTCAAATTTCCAAATAAAATAATTTGTTATAATTGTTTTTCAAGATTTTAAGGTATATTATGAATTTTATAATTATTTAATTAAAGTAAAAACTCATATATTAAATATTTTCTAACATATACTAATTCATGCAATTTACCAATAATATATTTGTTCGGCTAGCGACCCAATTCCCTCAACGAAACGAGGCTAACCATGAAAAAACATTGATATAAAATGCAAAATGCATGAGATGTAAATCCTAAATTAATGTCGAGAATTTTCGAACAATAATACTTTTATGGCCGAATTTTTGCAGGTCACATAAGTTTGAGTTATGGGATCAGATCTGAATCCAAATCTGAGCTTAGGTATAGGCATTTTTCCCCCCTTTTTCGGAGACAAGTTAGGTAAAGTTTCGAAACTTTATTTATACAAAATTATGTATTATCATGGAACTCTACGTTGTGTTGTGTGTAGAGTGTAGACCACTCTTTCTTTCTATTTTTATATGTTATTCCATGTATAGTATAGTATACTACGCAATTCTACATACACTTGAGCCCCTAGTAGACCGTATATGATACGTATAATGTATAACGTATAACGTATGTTTATACACTTGAATAGTTAATTAATAATTAATAGACACAAACACGACAAAGGAGAACGCGGAAAGATTGAGAAACAGAAGGACTCGGTTTTTGTTGCGGAGACCGAGTCCGACTCGCGGGCCAACTCGGTAACCTTTCCTTCCTTTAGAATTTATTACAGTTACAGCATTTAACCATTTTTCCCGCACAACGAACGCAACACAGACACAGACACTGACACACCAAACCGCACCCTCTTCAATTCTCTTCTCTCTCTACGCGCACGCGCGAGATAGTTAGAGAGAGAGAACCGGTAACCTGAGCGTCAGGTAGCCGTCACGCAACGCGCATTTCCCACACACGACGGACACCACCACGCCGTTTGGGCGCACCCGTCGTTTCCGGATCCCTCATCGTCGTTTCTTCCCCATTGAGATTAGCGAGAATCCCAAGACACAGAGCTGGAGCCGCTACAAGATCCCAAGCAATTGAAGGCTCCGCCCGCCGCCGCCAGTAACGGTCAGATCCGCTACCGATCTCCGTCCTCCGCCGAGCTATTCGACGGGAGCAGCAACTCCCCGCCGTCGCACGCCGCCGATCAGAACTCGCCGGAGTTCGAGCCGAGCAAAATGCTGAAGCGCCCCGGCCGCCAGGAGTCCCTCGCCGACAAGATCTACCGCTTCCGTGGGACGTTGCTTGTCGTCGCGATCCCGCTCCTTCTCATCTCCTTCGTCCTCTACGTCATGCCGTCCTCCTCCTCCAACGAGTCCGCCGGAGACTACGCTCTCGTCAACCGCAAAATGTCTCCCGACAAGAAATCCGCCAGCACCTACGCCGTCATCTTCGACGCCGGAAGCTCCGGCAGCCGCGTCCACGTCTTCCATTTCGATTCCAACCTAGATCTCGTCCACATTGGCAAAGATCTCGAGCTTTTCATCCAGGTCAAATCAAATTATTACTATTATTATTATTTGTTAACGTTTATTCCGTTGTTAATCTGTTATGGCTTCGTCGCGGCTTTTGGCATTGTAGTAAATTGACAAACGAGGTGGATGCGGATATAATTGCGGTTCCAGACATCTAAAATCCTTCGCATTATGGCCAAAATCGCTATTACAGATAGTTTTTTTTTTATTTTTAAAACATGATTATTGTTATTGCTAATTTTGTAGTTATTAATTGTTAACATTGTTATTTGCTTGTGTTTTTGGTCTGATAGTGTAGGTTTGTATTTTGTAGATTAAACCGGGTTTGAGTGCGTACGCTCAGAATCCGCAGGAGGCAGCGGAATCTTTGGTTTCGCTTTTGGATAAAGCGGAGAGTGTTGTTCCTCGTGAATTGCGATCCAAGACACCGGTTCGAGTTGGGGTGGGTGGTTTATTTTTGTTATGTTTGTGTTTACTGAATTGGTGTGCGTGTTAATTTACGTCAGGGTTTCTCTGAAGGGAGATTTGAGCTGAATCCATGTGCTATTGCAGGCAACTGCGGGTTTGAGGGCTTTGGAAGGGGATACCTCGGATAGGATCTTGCAAGCGGTGACTGCTGCTGTGTCTTTCTCTATTTCAATGGTTTTAACAGCTATGTGCAATTTCTTTTGTTTTAACTTTTTGTTGCTTTGAATTTTGTTGATTTAAGGTAAGGGATTTGCTTAAGGACAGGAGTAGCCTGAAATCCGACGCTGATGCTGTTACAGTGCTGGATGGAACACAAGAAGGTGCTTATCAATGGGTATGGTATACGAACTTAATGTTGTTTGTAATTGGCTATTGCTTTAAATTTTTTTAGGCCTTTTTGCCATTCACTTTTTACACATCAAGAATGCATCCTGACTAGGGGAGAATTAACAATGTTTTACTGACATAGATCGTATAGTTAAAAGAGTAGAACAGATTGCGCAGGGACTATAAGAGAATTGACTAGCTTTTGTTAACATAGATCAGATTGTGAATTAGATTACTTGATGGCTTATAGTGATTGTGGGATTTGAATAATGTATAATGATGTTTTGGTTTCTGATTCATTATTTTGAGTGGAATGGAGGTGGGGTTGAAAGATCAATTGTGAGCAAACTTTCTTTTATTGAGTGGAGTATTATGTTGATGAAGGTAATTTTGAGACAAGTTCGCTCAGAAGTAGTTCTCACCTAGTGGGATAAGACTTTGATGTTGTTGTTTAGCTCAGAAGTAGTTTATCTCCATGTTCTTACACATCCTGTTTATCTATATATTTTATTAAGTTTGTGGTATAGCATTACCAGGTACTAGTTTAGTGCTATCATTATATCATATTACACAAAGGAACATTCTGAGCTGCAAAAATTCTGGAATTGTAACCAACTTGCTTACACAAAAGTTTAAAATACTATATTGGACTTTTTAGTCCTGTGCACTGTTTGGGCTTTGATTTTGATTCCTGAACTTTCAGTTAGGGGCTTGATATTGTGTTTTTCTGAAAAGGCACAACGTGATCCCACTATTGGTTACATTACAGAGCTAGTAGTTAATTGATATGACAAAGTTTATTGAGTTGCTCACCACTATATCAAAAAGTCTGAAACGAAGGAGGATAAGGGGTTCTCCTAGAACAATCAGATAAGTAAAAACAGTTGTAAAAAATGCATTTGCTCTATTTTTTTAGTAGAGAACTCTACCACAAATGATCAGAGGAACACAAATCCAAATACATACTTCACCAATAATATAGGTCATTATTGGTTTTCTGACAGAATGAGTTGTACATAGTATTTTACCGTAGTACCAGATGGGCAATAGTATTTAATGGTTGATACAGTCTACTCTGTATTCACACGGCAGGTAAATGTACAATGAATACCAGTTTAGTTTCAATGATTAGTAGTATTTTGTTTGGTTGTACACTAAGGATATCCTCTGTATAATACCTATGCCTTATTGTTAGATTCCAAAGATTTGTTTATAATTCTATCCTAATGATTTTTTTTTTCAAATTATGGTTTATTCTGATATAATTTATTTTAACATAATTGAATTTGGGAATTTCTATTTGAAGAGGGTACGAGCGAGGGGTGTAAGCGAGTCGAGATTGGATTGGGTTAGGTACTAAATATGGTCAAACTTGACTTGATCCAACCGTGCTTAGATGTTTCAAAAAAATATTATTTATTTAGAACTCTAAAATCTAAGCATTGCTCGAACCCTCTTCAAATAGAAATCCCAAATTCAATTATGTTTGCTGCAAAAGTATTAATTAAAGGCAGCATCAATATAGCTTACTAGTTGTAATATGTATTCTCTCTGTAGAATTGGCACAGTATTTTGTTTGTCTTACCTTGTGAATTGCTATAGGTTACTATCAACTATCTATTGGGAAACTTGGGAAAAGATTATTCAAAGACTGTTGGAGTAGTTGATCTTGGTGGTGGATCTGTTCAAATGGCTTATGCCATCTCAGAGACAGATGCTGCCATGGCTCCAAAAGTAGTAGATGGGGAGGACCCATATGTCAAGGAGATGTTCCTGAGGGGAAGGAAATACCACCTTTATGTTCACAGGTTTGCTACTTACTCTTGATATATCAGTATGATGTTCCATCTTTTTCAGCCTCTTGGAGCATTAACTCATGGTTCTATGTTCTTCCACTTTTAGTCCATTTTTATTTCCTATTCCAGTTCCATGTTCAAATAGATATTCTGTAATACTGGTTTCCTTGTCTGATAATTTTTACATCTTGCTTTCAGTTACTTGCACTATGGTTTACTAGCTGCTCGTGCTGAGATTTTAAAGGTTTCTGTAGATGCTGAAAACACTTGTATCTTAACTGGCTACGATGGTAAATATACTTCTTCTATCTGTATGCCTGATGCTGTTTTGATGCATGTGTTACATTTCAGCTCTTTTGTTAAGTTTAACCTTTCATTGGTCCATGGGGAATAGAGCTTTGAAATTTTAAACTTTTTTGTAAATATTTTTCTTCCTGTCTTTTTTCTGATAACAAGCCATTCTTAAATATTTTTTCTTAGGATCCTACAAATATGGTGGAAAGTCGTATAAAGCTTCATCCTCCTCCTCTGGAGCAAGCTTGAATGAATGCAAAAGTATTGCTCTTAAGGCTCTGAAAGTTAACGAGTCAACATGTACTCATATGAAGTGTACTTTTGGTGGGATATGGAATGGTGGAGGGGGGGATGGACAGAAGAACCTTTTTGTTGCCTCCTTTTTCTTTGACCGGGCTGCTGAGGTATTCATTAATTTATTTTAGAATTAAATGTTTAGTTTTTAAACTTTTGTCAATTTTCATTTTAATCCCTAATATTTTTTTTTTTGGTTTTAATCTCAAATCTTTTTCTTTGAATAAAAAATTGACATCAAGAACCAAAATATTAACCAGAGAAAAAGTTCAAGGACTAAAAGTGAAAATTGATAAAAGTTCAAGAACTTAAACTAGTAAAAAAAATTGTTTAGAGACTAAAAACAAAAATTGACAAAAGTTAAAGGATTAAAAACATATATAATCCTTTATTTTATTCAACCTTGTCATCCATAGGCTGGTTTTGCTGATCCAAACTCGCCAGTTGCGATAGTTCGTCCTGCAGATTTTGAGGATGCAGCTAAGCGAGCTTGTCAAACAAAACTTGAGAATGCCAAATCCACTTATCCACATGTTGAGGAAGGGAACCTTCCCTATCTTTGCATGGATCTTATATACCAGTATACTCTACTTGTTGATGGTTTTGGTAGGTTTTATTCCGCTTTTGGAATAGTCATAATGACCTTCCTACTAAGTCTGAATTATGGTGTTATTTCCAGCACTCATTACTTCAATTTTTTTGGCAGGCATATATCCATGGCAAGAGATAACATTGGTGAAGAAAGTTAAATACGATGATGCCCTTGTTGAGGCAGCATGGCCCCTAGGCAGTGCCATTGAAGCTGTATCATCTCCGTAATGTCACCGGGATCATCACTCAGATCACTAATCAGAAATCTAGGGGCACATGAATTTCATCACCGGGATTTTCTGGTGAAATACTGTCATTCATGATGATCAGAGATTACTTTCAGGATGAATTGAGATTTTGGATATGGGTCTGTGACTGTGACTCAAATAATGGGAGATTATAGCTTCATTATTTTTGATATGTAATTAATTCACAACATATCTGATTTACGATTTTGGAAGATTCATTCGATTCATTAAGTGCATCTAATATATGTTGTCTTAAGTGACGAACAAAATGGTGATATTAACACCATTTCATTTTTGTTTCTATAAATGGTTTCATTCGTGATCATAGTTTATACTTTATTTCTTCACATCTTGTTGAGGACCCAGATCTACCATGTCGCTTGCAGGAGTGTGTGGGTGAGTAACAACTACAGTGTTCCTCATATTACACTTTAAACTAATTCATTGTTGACAATAAATAGGACCTGTGCGAGGGACATAAAGTTCTGTACTTTATTCCACCTACATCAATCATTCCTGATCTCCTGTTTCTCCTGTTTATTTATTTCTCTAGTTTTGTTATACATCACATTTCATTTAGATCCGAATATGTAAGGCAATAATGAAAAATATTATATAACTTTTATTTCTTCTAATGTTATCTTGCGTCCCTTAAGGAGTCTGTTCTAGGCTGGAGTCTCAGATAAAGGCCCATCATAACTGAGCCCTTAAATTTCTTTTATTTTATCAATTCGTTTGGTGATTGTGATGAACAAATTTCCCGTTTTTGATCGTTGATCATATAATTATATATTATTCGCCAGGGCTGGTTTTACTTGAATATGATTTTAATCGTCCACGTATACAGAGCTCCAGCATGCGACAATAAGAAATCCTAAACCTTGAACTAATTGATGAAGCCAGTTTGATAGTCCAACTTAAAGTTTGGTGTCACAAGTTTAGAATTTGGTATTGGATTACGCACATTTAATTAAGAACTAACGATAGCGATCACATATAAACACCTTTAGTCAATGCTAATTGCATAGTTGCGCTCATCACTTGCATATAAATAGTTATGTACATGATTACTCATCCAAAAATAGTAAAGTACATGATTCAATTATGTGAATGTAAGAATTATTTTCTACCTTGATTCCACAGCCAAACATGCTAAGTGTAATTAAGAATGAAGTGTCTGTCACTAATAAATAATACTTAAAATAAGTCGAGTTGAATCAGATTTAATTCAGTTCAACTAGATAATATTTAGTTTAATTAGACTCGAGTTTAATATAAATCATTTTTTTAGTTTGAACTTGATATGACTCAAGTTTGCTAAGAGTTTGATTTAATTTATTAACTTGGATCATATGAATCAAGAGTCATTTTTTTAATCTTATTCATTTCAAAATTTCAATTTAATATATTTTAAATAAAATAATTGTTAATATAAAAAGATAAAATATAATTTATTTTGTTAACTTTGTTACGTTACAATCAAAAACATAATTACAACTAAAGTCTTATTAAATAAAAACTAATTCACTTTTCATAATTTATTCTATTGTGTTTAATCTTTAATTTAAATTTAATTTATTTAGTTTCATAAATTAAATTAAATAAATTAATTATAAAATTAAATTTCAAACTATTCTCGAATTGATTCGTTAATTTTCATCGCTAGTGAAGAGTTATATCGACTACTCTTTCATCTTAGTTACATTTCACTCAGAACATATTGGTCCTTTATCATGATAACTAGAGTACATTGTCCATTTATGTTAATTCAGTTTTTCAATAATAAACTAAACAACTTGAAATAGCACCTGTTCATGAGATGCCAAAAACTGTCATTCATCACCAAGTTGGACTTGGCAGATATGTACAATATTAATTCCAACGTGTGATGAAATATTACTTAAAATGTTCAAGCCAACCATCTCACTCTGATGATCTAGCTTACTAATAGCTCGTTTTTCCAAAGTTTTGAAGTTAATATACTGTAAATACACACCATCCACAACACCAAAAGTTATTTTCTTTTGGCAATAATTTTTCCTTTTAATGGCAATATAAACAACCAAATATTTACAAGCAATCAAATTATGGCTGGTATATCCAATGTCAGCAAATTTTTTTACTGATAATTATAGAGAATGATGGTAAAATCCCTTATTATGGGTCAGGAAAAATTAGCGTTTATAGCCACCATACTAACGACAATTCTAGTGGTCGCTAAAAGTAGTTTTTTAATTCTCCTTTCAACCCTTTAATGATCTTTATTATTGCCAGTAAAATCTCATTAATTTTATTCTAGGTGTGATCTAATTCTGGTTTAACTATTCATCAATTGTTTGCATACACGAGATCATTCGCTAAGCTTTATCTATACAAGTTAGAGAAATGTCACTGTTGAATATGACCCCATAATCCTTAATGAAAAGTTAATAAATTTTTTAAACTATTACTAAAATAATGTACCACAAGTCTTATTAAAAAGAGAAGAAATTATAACGTTTCTTCGAATTCCCATCCATAAGCCCTGTACGCAGTACTCTCACAAGACACTCCTAAATAAATTATAACGCTTGTGTTTTTCTTAGACATGCTTCCCTTGACCTTTGCTTTCTCCTTGATCGAATCTATGACTTGTCGGTTGATGTCTTTGGTAAGTTAGCAAACACGATAGTTCGATCAATAAAACGAGGCGTACGATTCTGAGAAATAGTATTATATATCTCCTAGGTTGTAGCACTGCACCTTCTCTTTGAACTTCATCCATTTGACGAAAAAAAATATATCGTCAACAATATTAATATTCTATAAGCAATATATACATTTTTAAAAAATCCAATATTTTCATATAATAACAATTGAACAAAATATGGGGCCGAAGGAAAAGCATATAAAGTTATAAACTATAAGAGAAGCAACCAATACCAATCCAAATGGAGAACAGTTATCTATCTTTGGTTGGAATATATGACCTCGAATATTTATATAGTGGGATTCATAAATCAGATTAGTTATACTTTCACTATGAAGGTGTTCGTTCCACTTCTAGAAGCATAGCCATAGAACCTATAGTTAGAGCATTAAGATAGGCAACTCTGGTTGTAGATTACCCCCTTGATGTAATTCCAAAAGTGTAATCGAGTGAGATTGATCAACTAAAAAGTAACTCAAACATAGTTGGAACATTAGGGGCCAATACACCAACTTGCTCTAGTTCATAACATCCATGTGGGATTAGGAATAACTACAAAATGAAATTGATGAAAAGGGCCAAAGAAAAATAAAAAGAAACATAAACCACATCGCGTGGGGAAACAAGTTGAGAAATAGCAAAATTAAGTTTAATGCAGCGCTAGTGTATCTGTGCCCATGTGTAGGTAGCGTCATCGAAGACCAGGTAAAATCTTTTGTGGGAAATCACAACGGCACACTCCAAGAAGCTGATTAGAGTGAGAGGAACATGGTTCACGAGCATTGGAGTTAAAAAAAAACATCAAAATTGATAATGTACTTCATACTTTTTCTACTTAGATCGTGTTAGAGCTTCATAAGATGTATTGAATTTTTTGAGAAGAGAATGAACTTTCTAATTACGATGTAGGAGCTTTGACAATAAGCATCACACTCACATGAATCGCACAAAATAACCTAAAATTGAAATTGTAGTCAACATGACATAAAAATAAGAGATAACAATGTGAGAGAGATTCAACTGAGAGAAGTTATTGCAAGAGGGAAATATTAATCACCTAAGAGAGAAAATCAAGTAAGCCAATATTTTTGTGATAAAGAATGATTTGCATTAGTCCAAAGAGAAAATGTATGAATGAGATGAGAAATAGCGAGAGAGGGAGAGACACCCAAAAGAAAGCAATGTCGGTCAAGATTTTGAAAAGAAAAATAAAAAGAACTAAAGATTAGAATAAGATCAAATAAGTAAAAATAATGCTTAAAACAGTGAGCTTTTACTGGAAATTATGATAATTGCCTTACCTTTTTTATATTTTAGTAGCGAATATTTATTTGCAATAAATATTTTTATTTAAAAATTAAATAATGGCATTTATTTTATTGTTTTTGAAGTCGGTAAAATCACAATTTGAGGTAGTGATCTGATTCTTAATATATTAATTTTACTCACATTCTGATCGTATTTTTGTGATAAATGGACAAAAATATGAGCAAATTAACACATTTAGTGACTAAATTGTATGATTCAATACTTTCAAGGACAAAAAATAAACATGATATCACTTTCAAGGATCAAATTGTATATTAGCTCTTTAGTAATGTTTAGTTAGTTAGAAATGTACTTAGATTTAGTTAATTCTAGTTGCACCGTCATTCAAATAAATATTTTCCAATTCTGATTCTGCTACGAAACTATCTCAAGTGTAATCATGGATGAATGGTATATTAGTTGTAAAGTCAATTATAATTGATTTTGATAAAATTAATTTTCAACCACTGAATGTAATTGAAATTAACGTGTTTTAAAAGTGATTTTATATTGAAATGTGTTTACTGTACGAACACTCGATGAGTGTTAGCCAAATAGACATAAAGTTTGCTTGAAATGTGTAAGATTGTACTATAGTGACATTAACAATTTAAATGTAGAATTCACTTTTAGATATCTAATTTTAGGCATTACTCTTTTCAACCTAAATATCTCTTTATTGTCTTATGTCTCTACTCACTTAATTAAAATTGGCTAAATTATATTTTGATCTCTTTGATAGACTTTTGTGCAAATATTTGTTGACATTTAGTCAGGTTCTTTTGTGAGTCTCATTTCTTTTATGATTGTAGAGTATGTTAGTTGAAACTTCTTTTCCTGATCATACATATTTCAACAAGGAGCAAGTTTTGTCCATATTTATTTGAAATTTCTTTTACTTCCTTAACACAATTGTTGATCTATAAGATGCTTTGGATTAAATGCTTCTGAAATGTAGATAGTAAAAACCTTTGATAATACCATAGGAACAATAAATTTGACAATAATATGTGATACCGTCTGTCAATAGATGACGTGTTTCATTTGCTAGTTATAACGTCTTTATATTGTTTCAAATCTAATTTCTTTCATAATCAAAATGTTTAGTTTAATAATCACATGTTTCTTATCACTTTAAAAACACCTATTTTTTTATTATCAAAACAAGATTTTTGGACCTTAATTCGTTTTTTATTCTACAATATTTTGAAAAGTGTCGTCATAACATCATCTACCTCAAAATATTTCATTAAAATGGTTCACATAATTGTTAGATAAAAGATTGTATTTTAAAAGCATTTTTTGCAAGTAAGAATGTCTCGTTCCAAACGGAACTTCAT